GATTGGTTAGATAAGTTAGAACAACGTTTTACAATGGCTAATTGGAACGACGAACAAAAATTACGATATATTTCCATACATTTACAGGATGATGCATATAGGTGGTGGATGCAAACATCCACATCAATTAAAACATGGTCAGCATTTATTACAGCTATTACACAAGCTTTTGGATCAACAAAGGTACAAGAATTAGCATTTGAACAATTAAAATGGTATAAACAAACAGTTAATCAATCCATTACACAATATTATGATAAAATTATTGAATTATGCAAAAAAGTCGATCCTGTAATGCCTGATTCTTTGAAATTAAAATATTTAATGGTTGGAGTGAAAGAATCGTTGAAAATGCATGTAGCGTTACAAGATCCCAAAACAACTGAAGCATTTCTATTATCAGCAAAGAAGATTGAAGATGTATTATCAATTACCAAAACAAATAATGAATTATCTGACAATGATATTACCATCATCAATGCAACTGGTTATCAAAATCAAGTACGTGATCGAGCAACATTCACACGAACATCAAACAATAAATTTAATCAAAAAAATCCTTGGAATGCAAATGCATCACGAACTCGAACAAATTCTAGTCAGGGAATACCAGTTGGAAATAACGCAAATCGACAAAATAAATTCTCAAATTCTACAAGATCAACACAGAAACTAGGTGCTTGTTACAATTGTGGTACTCCTGGCCATTATGCCCGGGATTGTACCCGTCCCCATTTTCAATAGGGGAAGCATCGGTCGATGGTGTTGCTTCCGAAAATTTACATATCAATCCATCGACATTAAACACATCATTGTTATACCTTAATGTTCTCGTAAATAATAAACATATGAAAGCAATGATTGATACAGGTGCCAACCGAACTTTTATTTCATTACAAGCCTTACCTACTTCACATAATCGACAATTCATTAATAAAAAACAAAAAAGTGCTTCCTTAGCTGATGGACATACATCCATTTCTATTTTAGGCACTTTAGATTTACATATTATTATAGGTGATATGTCAACTACGATTAAAGCACATGTGGTGAAAGATTTATGTGCTGAATGTATATTAGGAATGGATTTTATTAGTAAATATAAAGTTATAATTAATGCCGATGCACGTGTGGTATCAATATATGATGATGAAAAACGTATAACATTAGAATTTGATGTTAACCAGGAAGAAATTCGTTATCCAGCACGAACAATTCGTTACACTTATATTCCACCGAAAAGAACAGTTTCAATTCCAGTTAACGTCGGAATATCATCAGCTAAAGTTTTATTTAGTCCATCTTATCAATTAGCACGACGATCACCGATGATTTTGTTAAACAATATAGCAAATGTTAATCAACAGAAATCACATATTTCAATTTACAATCCAACACCATATTATTATACAGTACCTAAAGGCCTTATATTAGGTACAACAACTATTCCTACATTATCTTTTAGTAAATGTACATCTATTGATCATCAATTAGTTAATGATAACATCAATAAATTAACTCGACATATTACAGATTCAACACAAAGAGAAGAAATTGAGACAATCCTTCATCAACATGAAAAACTTTTCGACACAAGTAAACCTGCAATAGCTGTTAATGTGAAACCGCATGAAATTAAAACACTTGATCATCCTCCACCATCATCTAGACCATACTATTCAACGCCTCACAAAGAAGAAGAGATGTACAAGATCGTTCAAGAATTATTATATTATGGTTTAATTCGTAAATCTTATTCTCCATTCGCAGCACCAGCATTATTAGTGGCTAAACATGATGGATCATGGCGAATGGTAGTCGATTACAAAAAATTAAATAATATGACAATTAAAGATAATCATCCATTACCTAATATGGAACAAACAATACGACGATTAGGTGGTGGTTACAAATTCTTCTCAAAATTAGATATGAAGAGTGGATTTTGGCAAATACCAATTAAAGAAGAAGAAAAACATAAAACGGCATTCATTACAGCTGATGGATTATATGAATGGAATGTATTAGCTCAAGGTTTGAAGAATAGTCCACCATTATTTCAAAGAGTAATGGCTGATATATTATCTCCTTGTCGACAATTTTCATTAGTTTATATCGATGATATTGTGGTATTCTCTCATTCATTTGAAGAACATCTTAATCATCTTCAACAATTATTATGTATTTTATCCAAGTATAATTTTCAACTCAATCCACCAAAATGTAAATTATTCCATCAAAAAATTGATTATTTATCTCATATTATATCCGAAGAAGGTTTTCAACCAAATAATGAAAGAATACAATCAATTATGAATTTGAGGGAACCTTCTACGTTAGTAGAAGCGAATAAGTTCCTGGGTGGTTTATCATGGTATAGGAAATTTATTCCACGATTTGCATCCATAGCTGCACCTATTCACAAAGTAACAAATTTAACAAAAAACAATAGAAAAAATTTTAGATGGGAAAAGCCACAACATGAAGCATTTTTACAATTGAAACAGTTCTTAATAGCTTCCCCATTATTTCTTGATTATCCAAATGATAATTATCCAGTTATTATGACAACTGATGCATCGAAAGTTGGTATTGGAGGAACCTTACAACAGAACATTAATGGTGAAATTAAGAATCTTTATTATCATTCACAAGTAACATCTTCTACTCAAAGGAGATATGATCCGATTGAATTAGAAGCACTAGCAATATGGATGTGTTTCCAACGTATGCGATCTTATTTATTAGGAAGATCAATTATCATTTACACTGATCATTGTCCATTATGTAATATGATGAATTCAACAGTGAAGAACCGAAGAGTTGATCGTATATCAATATTATTACAAGAATTTAATATCGAAAAAATTATCCATATTAAAGGTCAACACAATTGTTTAGCTGATTACCTATCCCGTCATCCAGTTCCAAGAGAAGAAGAAATATTTGATGAAGATTATGGTATTGCTAAACGTGATACAAGGGAACCGACTGTTATGGGTCGCGTTCCTGATGAAATTCCTCCACTAGCTGGAGCTATTGTAACAAGATCTAAAGCGAAACAATTACAATTACAACAAGATCAAAATTCAACAACAATACCAATAGATAGAAATAAGATAAAATTACCGCCAATAGAAGAAGAAACTGATCAAATGAAAGAAGATCCATCACAAATTATTGCAAAAAATATACTGGATATGGAACGATTAAAAATTGAACAAGGAAAAGATTCGGATATTCAACACAAAATTGCAGAAGTTATGAAAAATCCAATTAAAAGTACTTATGAATTCAAAGATGGTTTATTATATAAGTTAATGATTATGCGTGAAGGTTGTAATACGAAGAAAAAATTAATTTATTTGCCTTCATCTTTAATTAATGATCTTTTACAAGTTTATCATAGTGATCCTCTTAGTGGTCATTTTGGAGTTCAACGAACATATTTAAAAATTAAAAATAAATATTGGTGGCCGAATATGAAGCAATCTATTACACAATCCATACAATCATGTCTACCTTGTCAACAATATAATATTAGTCGATCGAAGAAACCTGGTCGATTACAACCAATTCCACCACCTGAAGGACCATTTCAATTAATTGGTATGGATTATTGTGGTCCATTTAAACAAACTCCACGTGGTAATCGATATGTACTATGTCTTACGGATTATTTCACAAGATGGGTGGTTGCTGCTGCTGTACCTGATTGCTCAGCTCAGACTACCGCTGAAGCATTATTCAATGAATACATTTGCAAGTATGGGGTACCGGCAGTAATACTATCCGATCAAGGAACGCACTTCCACAATCAATTAATGGAAGCCATGTCGAAGTTGATTGGATACAATCATACTTATTCAACCACCTACCATCCTCAATCAAATGGAATGATAGAAAGGTTCAACGCAACATTTGTACCACAAATTGCCAAACTTGAAAATAAAGAAAATAATAATTGGGATGAATTTCTGTTACCTGTGGTATTTGCATACAATACGGGAACACACTCAACAACTCAATATTCACCATTTCAATTATTATATGGTCGAGAACCAAGATTACCTGTTGATGGACCAATATCATCATTTACATTTCGAAAACCAAATGATTATTATGAGCAATTAAAGAAAAGTATGAAATTGATACATGGATATGCTCGTGAAAATATTATTCGTAAACAACATCAATATAAGACTCAATATGATAAACGACGTCCTGATCCTCATTATACAATTAATGATCGTGTTTTAGTCAGAAGACATGGATTAAAATATAAATTAGAACCAAAATTTTCAATTACACCACAAATTATTATTCGTGCACAACATCCTGTTTACGTTGTTCGAGATGAAATAACTCAAATTGAAACACAAGTGCACATAAATGATATTAGACCCATTTATGTTTCAAAATTAAATTAATAAAAAAAAAAAAAAATTTTAAATAAAACAAAAATCAACAACATTAAACTCCTCAATATTTTTATCAAACTCCTTATCAATATTTTTTTATTAGTATTTTTATCATTATTAATATTATCTATTTATTGATAAATATTTCTTATTGATTTTGGAAATGGATTATGTTTATGATGATTATGTTAAACCAAATTAAACGTATGCGCAACGGTTAATATGGAATAACATTTATCATCTATGAATTGGATTAATTGATATTTTAATATGCGCGCATTAAAAAATCAATTTTATTATCAAATCCAAATGGAAAATTAATAATGACAAGATTTACAATTATATAAAAAAAAAAAAAAAAAAAGAAATGATGAGTCATCAATGGAAACTTTCTTTAAAGGATTGTTTCTGAACGAAACCAATCATATTAGGTGATAAATTCGTCCTTATGTTAACGATATCTGTGATCAATATTACGTAACAAGTGAATTTTGTTTAAATGGATGACCAATGGCTATTGGTCAATAACGTCTTCAAATGAATATCCTTTATTTTATTTATTATTTACTGATTATTCAACTCCTTGAATTATCATCATCATCATCAACTGGTTATTTACTTGCACTTTCTAACACATCATTTATTTATTCTCGATTCAGTTCTACAAGTCATCATGAATATGGTTATTGTGAACCAAAGATTGAAGGAAATTTATCCTGCATTTGTTATTCCAGAAACAAGTTATGAAGTTATACTTATCAATCGATACATGTCAATGGAAGTTATAGACAAAGTGTTAAATCACATAAATGATTGTTATCAATATTCAGTAGATACTGAAAGTGAAATGTCAAACAACGAATTATCCATTATACAATTTCATACAATTCCTCGTACATTACCATCACAAGTACTTATTATCGAATTATCACAACTGCCAAATCGAGAATCTCACTTGTATGTAAAACTTAAAGAAATTTTTAGATTAATTTTTAGATCACGTAATGAAATATACTCATGGGGGAACATGAACCTCGAACTTGAATCAGCAAATTATTTATTCGCATGGCCAATAACATCAGAATTAATTAATCTTCAGCCGCACTTTGCTGGTTGGTATGAGAGGGCTCGGACTCAGTGTAGGGTCCAGAGCCTGGAACAACAGGCGATGGAGAATAATGATATTATTGTTGGTCAACGAAAATTGTCAACATCGTCTTGTACATGTCATCGTCCAAGTCCATACAATGAACATCAGCTCTGGTCATTACAGAAAGCATTTTTGTATAGCTTTAATCTATTTATAGATAAAACAAACACCTTGTCGCATTGGTCATATGGCCTAACTTCAATTGGTTCATCATTAACACAAGCACAGCGTACAAGAATGATAAATTATGCTAAATACGATGTGATGGCAGTAACCTATCTCATCAGACCAATTACTGAACAATGGTCGTTTACAAGAACAAAAGAATCAAGCATTGAAGAAATGTTTATTACATTTCAATCAATACGACCACCACCATTACGTCAACAAAAATCGAAAAAGAAGAAAAAAAATATTAATATTCAAAAATTGTCGAAAATATTTACATCCATTCAGGATCCTGATTATGAATTAATTTCATCAGATGATGAGATATATTTAAATCAATTAATTGAACCAAATGATTATAAAAATGAACAAGATAATAATAATAATAATAATAATGATAATAAAATTAATTTATTACAAGATCAAATCGAACCAATTGATGCTGATTATATACTAATTATTAATGATGATGAACCAATTGAACGAATTCAACAACAAGAACCTGAACCAGTTAATGATAATTTATTAAATG